AGGTCAGGAGTTACCTTGTGTGCCTGCTGCCTGAGGCTATCTGAAGCCTGTGCTTAAAGGGCCCTCCCGGACATCCAGTTCTCAGGTTTCCCTGCTTGCTTGCCAACCTCGCTGAGGGAGAGCAAAGCATTTTTTTCTCTGTGTGCTCTGGTTGCCCTCACTCAGGGCACCACAGCACTCTGCAGCATGGAGCCGGAGCCGCCCCTGGGCGCTCTGGTGCTTCTCCTGGACGTGTTGCTGTGAGCCTGGCAGCACATTCTGCAGGCAGTAACAGTCTCCCTGGTGTGCCCCACTGGGGGCTTGTGCCTCATTCCTCCCTCACGTCCTTCCACTTACCCCTCCCTAACCCCCCTTCCTGCTGTACAATAAAAGACACACGTGTTCATTACAACAAAGTCTCATTATTGAACAAAATGGGTGTGGGGGAAGAGAATGAAACTGAGGTGAGATTGGGAAAAGAAGGTGGGAGAGGGGAGGAGGGAGGGTTGGAGAGTGAAGGGGGAACCTCGGAGGAGGGAGCTGGCGGGGGGGCAAGGAGAGGAAGAGGGAGAAGAAACTCAGGGCTCAGGGTTGGGGGTCTCGCCAGCACAACTGTCTCCCAGCACTGTGGATGTGGGGGCTGGAGAGTGAAGGGGGAACCTCGGAGGAGGGAGCTGGCGGGGGGGCAAGGAGAGGAAGAGGGAGAAGAAACTCAGGGCTCAGGGTTGGGGGTCTCGCCAGCACAACTGTCTCCCAGCACTGTGGATGTGGGGGCCTCGGCATCCTCAGTGGGGTGGAGAGAAAGAAGCAGGAGGGGGAGAAGGAGGAAGAAGCAGGAGGGGCAGAAGGAGTGGGAGGAGGAGCGGTAGCTGGGGAGCCAGCAGGGGCTGGAGCAACAGGAGGCTGCAAGCTTTGCACCAGGGTCTGCAGGTGCTCACAGATGGCATGGCCCTGGGCATGCAGCCAGCTGGAGCCACGTGCCCAGGGGTGGAACAGCACGTGCTTGCACATGCACAGGTTGCTGCGTGATCCGTGGTCAGCAAAGCCCACCTGCACACTCCCTGGTCTCCCTTTCTCCCCTCCATAAGGGGACAATGATGGCACTCACGTTGTTGCCTCCCCGGATGACACTGGCGACAGGTCCACTGGGATGGCTCAGGGCTCCTAGCTGCACGGCATGCTCCCTCCAGGCTCCTGCGGCTCCTGGCCCTCCTCCTCCTTCTCTGTGCCCTGGTCAGGGTCCTCTGCCCCTGGGTCGATGACCACCTGGGGGGCACAGACTGTTCCCTCCCCAGGATGCAGGCCAGAGCATCAAAATAGGGCAGCTCTCTGGGTCTGCCCCTGGTTGGGAGCTGCCCCCTGTGGCCCTGGCATAGGCCTGCCACAACTCCTTATTTTTCATCCAAACCTGCTCTTGGGTTCAGATGTGGCCTTTGGTGGCCAGGCTGGCAGCCATCCTGCTGTAGATGACCATGTTCCTCTGTCTAGTGTGAGATCATGGATGTTGGAGGCATCCCCCCAAACCTCAATGATCTTCGCACTGGACCAGGAATGTGCCCACCTTCTCCAGCCTCTGGCAGGCTCCTGGGAGCTGGGGGACTGGGCCCAGGGAGCAGTGGAGGGCTGGCTGGCACTGGCTGCCTGGCTCATGCTGGGGCCACTGGGTCAGGGGCAGTGAATACTGGCTCTGGGCTGGCAGACCTGGAGCTGGCACAGACACTGTGGCCAGACTCTACCCCTTTAAGGACTCTGGGGAGCAAGGGGGGAGAGGAGTCGAGAGAGGGATGCAAATGAAGACATTCGAAATTGCAAATGAAGACGGGATTTAAATATCCTGCACTTCATTTGCATATTTGCGTTATGGCACTATTTCAAAATAGCGCTATTTCAAAATAATAGCCGCTGTTAAGACACAATTATTTCGAGAGAAAACCCTTCTTTTGAAATAACTGATAAACCTCATTGTGGTTATGTCTACACAGCAAAGTTATTTTGAAATAACAGCTGTTATTTCAAAATAACTTTGCTGTGTAGACATAACCACAATGAGGTTTATCAGTTATTTCAAAAGAAGGGTTTTCTCTCGAAATAATTGTGTCTTAACAGCGGCTATTATTTTGAAATAGCGCTATTTTGAAATAGTGCCATAACGCAAATATGCAAATGAAGTGCAGGATATTTAAATCCCGTCTTCATTTGCAATTTCGAATGTCTTCATTTGCATCCCTCTCTCGAAAGAGGGTGCAAGTGTAGAAATAGCCTCTGAATTCAAGACACACTAAAGATCTAATGCATGAAGTTTTGTCAAATTTTGTTTTTTAGTATTTATTAATATAATTCAGTATTCTTGCTATCCATTTAAAAGTCCAATTTCTTTTTTAATCTAGCTGAGTTCTTGGTCTCAGTAATACCATGTGGCAGAGGGTTCCACAGTCTAATCATGTGTGGGATGAAAAATATTTCATTTTATCAGTTTTGAACTATTCACACTTCATTCAATCAATGTCCTTTTGCTCTCTTGAGAGGAAAACAGAAACTCTACATCTGCCTTCTCTACCACTCGCTTCATATGCTTCTATTATGTCCCCGCTTATTCATCTTTTTAAAGCAAGCAATCTCAGTCTTTCCAATCTCACTTCCAGGGCTGTAATCATTTTATTACACATCACATTGCCCTTGAAGCTGCAATATCATTTCGAGAGGATGGTAAGTATTGCAGACAGTATTCCAGATGAGGCCACACTATTTATTTATATAATGACATTATATTTTTCATATTCGTCTCCACTCCATTACTTATGTATCCTACTACTTTTGTTGCCTTATTTTTTCCACAACTGCACACTGAGACTAAGATCATGTCTATACAATGGACCTCACAGTAGTACAGCTATATCACTGCAGCTACGCTTCTGTAAGGTCTCCTTTGTAGCCACTCTATGCCAGCAGAAGAGAGCTCTTTCCACTGGAATAATTAAACCACTCTCAAAGAGCAGCAGTAGCTATGGTGGTGGTAGAGCATCTCCCACTGACACACCTCTGTCCAAACGTATGTCCTTCAGCGAGTGTGTTTTTCACACTCCTGGCCAACAAAAATACTAGTAGACAAAGCAAAGGTCTTCATTGATTAGTCCATACTGATACTGATCCCTTGACAAGGGAGATTGTGGAATTTCCATCACTGGAGATATTTAAGAGCAGGCTAGACAGACATCTATCAAGGATTGTCTAAATAGTGCTTGGTCCTGCCATGAGGGCTGGGGACTGGACTTGATGATCCCTTCCAGTTCTAGAATTTTATGATTCTAAGTTGATTCCTAAATTGATACAGTTAACTTAGAACCCAGTAAGGTTTATCAGCAGCTTGTATTACTTTCCTGTAATGTGTATTGCTTTGCACATTATCAACTTTCAGTTTCATATGTTGCCAATTCACTAAGCTTGTGTAGAGCGCTGTGAAATTTGTAGCAGCTTCTTATTTAAGACAGACAACATTAACTGGTCAGCTTGATGAAAAATATGTCTGGAATATATCTGATGCTGTACAGTAATATTACAAAACCTTGTATCTAGAAATTCTTGTTCTCCTTTCTCATACAATTAATCCCACTAACAATTTTATCACCCAGAAAAAAAATCAGAGGGAGAACTGACAGAAGAAAGAACTGTGACAGAGAGAGGGAACTTTGTTTCCTACATGCAGTAAACTTTATCTGGTTTCATAACTAAACAAATCCATCGTTTGCGTTGAAGTTTCATTGCAATTCACATTGATTGCAATACTCTCTGCGTAGTTCCAGCATCTATTTAATAAAACCAATCAAGCAAGGGATTATTATTAAGTGACAATGACATGGTACTTTATCTGACTCCATATGCTGAACATACTTGCTACTGTGGCATTCCAGCATCAGTAAGCTTATGCAGTAAGAAAACGGGATTGAAAATCAAACTTAAATTTCCTGAAAGATGCTGCAGAATAAAGACCAAAACCTACACCTAACCTCCACCCCAGACAATTAGACAGAAAAAGAATCCTCTCCCTATGTTGTAGGTGCCTGCAATGTTGCTGCAGGCTAATAGTTACATGAACATTCTGCAGCTCTCCTTAAGCCAACACCCTCTTACAGAAGCAAGCAGCTAAGGATCCACAAAAAAGTGCAGAAGGATTTTACCAAGCCCCTCAAATCTTGTCTCCTAACTCGAGTCATCTGAAGAAGTGGGCTGTGCCCACAAAAGCTCATGATACCATCTACATGTTTTGTTAGTCTATAACGTGCTACCAGACCAAAAAATGAGGAGTAACGTTAGTTCGGACTAAGGGCTTTAGTCCGAACTAACGCGTCCTGGTGTGCACTTCCTGGTTCGAATCAGCCGTGATTCGAACTAGTGCTCCAGAAAGATCATGTTAATGAAGCGTGGGATCTTTAAATCCCCGCTTCATTAACTACTTCGGTTGTCTCCATTTACATCCCTAGTCCGAACTAGGGATGCAATGTAGACGTACTCTTTGAGAGCTTGTGCCAGGAATTCTCATGGTATACTGGAGAGTCCAACTTCCTGGGATTCTCTACAAAAGTTTGTACAATAGAGTAGAACCCTGTAGAAAAGAGTCACAAAAGACCTGGGCACACTCTTGTCTCCATTAGAAAATGCAGAGTAGTTCTGTGGCCTGAGACGGAAGCTAGATTTACTTTCCAAGCCCCGTAAAATATCTTTGTATCAAAAGCATAAATCCTTGGATTTCATCTAGGGGAGAGAGCTTAGCCCTAAAAGCCTATTTTTACCATGGGAACCCTTTAACAGGGATTTACATGCAGATTTCATGGGGGAAGCATAGGCTGGAGGATATAGATTGGTCTTGTCAGCCATGGACATTCAGGGTTATTTTTTGTTTTAGAGCAGCTTTTCCTTTTTTTTTTCCTTCCAGGAATGTGTTTGAAGGCAAGTGTGATTAAGGTTAGCATCTTTCTGACTGCAGAAAACCAAACATCCTTGTTCTACCTCTTTCTCAAGACTCCAGCCCTGCCCTATCCATTCTCCAAGGCTCTGTCTCCCACTGCATCCCCCCACCTGTCACTTGCTCTCTCCCACCCTTGTCCACATGCTCATTTTCACCTGGCTGAAGCAAGGAATTGGTGTTCAGTAGGGAGGAGATCTCGACTAGGGTGTGTGTGCAGGCTCTGGGATAGGGACAGATATGAGAGGCTGGTGTAGGAGGGGGTTCAAAGTTGGGGCAAGAGGTATAGAGCATTGTTTTTGGTGGGGAGTTTGGATGTGGGATGAGGTTCTGACTTGGGACAGGGGATTTGGCATGTGGGCTCCAACCTTACCTTAGATAGCTCCCAGTCAGTGGCATAGTAGGACTAAGGCAAACTCCCTGCCTGCCCAGCTAATTCATCCAGCCCTTAGGTGGAGGTGTGGTCAAGTGGCTCTGTGCAGTGCATACTGCTTGCAGTTCCCATTGACTGTGGCTTCTGGCCAAGGGTGCTGTGGTGGCGGTGCTGGCGGTGATGTGCAGAGCTTCCTTGGCCACCTCTCTGTCTAGGAGCCAAAGGGAAATGCCAGCTGCTTCTGCGAGGTGTGTGGAGCCAGGACAGACAGTGAGCATGCCTTGGCCCCCAGGGCTGGCCCGAGCCATTTGGCGCCCTGGGCAGGCGGCACCGCCCGGGGCACACAACGAATGCGCGGGCCCGCCCCCAGGGCACGTGGGCCCACCCCTGGGTGCACGGCGCATGTGTGAGCCTGCCCCAGGGGCACACGGGCCCGCCTCTGGGTGCGCGGCGCATACGGGGTGCACGGCAGGCGCACGTCATATGTGCTGCCTAGCCACCACTGCTGGCGTACAGCCCAGGGCCTCCTGGGCAGGCTGCACCTGGCTGTGAAGGGCCCCGCAGCCGCAGGGGGAAGAGCACTGCGGGGGTTAACGCAGCCCCCGCCCCAGGCAGCCACCGCAGCCTGCCAGGAGCCGGGCATGCGGTGCCTGATGGCAGCTATAAGGGGCACCGCACTATAAGGGGGGCACCCTTTACAACTGCCATCAGGTGCCCCCCATCAGTTGGCGCCCCAGGCAGCTGCCCAGCTCACCCACCCCTTAGTCCGGCCCTGTTAGCCGTGCTGTGCCACTGACTGGACTTTTAATTGTCAGGTTAACAGTGCTGACCTGCAATTCCGGTTGAAAACTGGATGTTTGGGAATCCTATGTGTGATCAACATTTTTGCATCAGATAATGAATCCAATATGTTTGTGTGTCCTGTTGAAGCTAGTAAATTTTGAAATGCCTACTACAACACCAAGTAGTTTACTTTTTATAGAAAATTATAAAAGACTCTGGTAGTCAAGCATCATGAATATTGCTGAAGTAGTTAAAATGCATTAATAAAAAAACCCACATAGAATCTCTTTCTCCTTTCATACAACAGAATTATTCAGTGTAGATGTTTAATATTAGTAATGTAGCCTGTCTGTCCTGAGTTCAGAAAGAATACATGTATTTAAGACGCTTAGTTCAAAAAGAGACTACATCATTTCACAGAATCTTTGAGTTCATTTTTTCCTTAACCACTTCTGCTATTCTTCTGTGCATCCTAAGAAAAGTCTAATTGCTGTTATTTTTTTCAATAAATATTTGTATTCTGTAGGTTCTTGGGCAGATCGTTCACCACTGCATGAGGCAGCCAGCCAAGGACGTCTCCTTTCTCTAAAAACTTTACTGTCACAGGTAAATGCCAATGTGATTCTTAAAACATTTTCCTATTACACCTTATTTAATGACAACCCATTAAAAGGTAAATTTGACCTGATTATCTGTTAGTGTTTCCGTGTGAATAATGCTGAAATATTTTTATTTGGGAGCTTCCGATCCTGTAAAATGTAAAGACATCCCAAGATACTTTTCCACTGGCTTTTAAAACATTTTCTAAAATGTACTCTTTGCGAAGCCTTGATAGATTAAACCTGTAAAAACTGTTTCCTTGCAAATGTTGTTACTCCTTTAGGACTGTTCCTAAGGACTAGAATGATGCTACCTATTTATTTTAATTAAAAAAAAGGCAGTAATAAACTTATTTTGGAGAATTAAGGAAGACTGGTGTCTTACAAACACAGTGCATCCTGGGGTTACTTCTTGGGTGGTACAATTTAGGTACCAGCCCTTACTCAGAGCTGTGCCTACAGCCACATAACCATAAATCAGCATATTTGCCCTGACTTCTCTCCTCAGCTGATATAAACTGATATCGTTGCATTGGTTTCAATATAGCTATATCAACTTCCACCAGCTGAATTTATAGCCCTAACTGTGGGAGAAAGGATTAGTGTATGCTAAATAAAGCAATCACCCTGTCTACTGACCAGGAAAAAGACTTTGGCATTCTTAAGGAAAATTCATTGAAAATATCAGCCCAGTACACCGCAGTAATAAAAAAATACACCAAAGATTAGTTTGTAATAGCAAAGGGATAAAGTAAAATCAGGAGTTTTACTGTTATTGCAACAGCAAACCTGCTATTTAGCAGTTATTTTAATAAGGTATCAAATAAGAGCCCTTTGTGGAATACTGGTAAATGGCATTACAGAAAGTATTTTGTGTAAGCCAATGTAGTATTTTGTTAATGATACAAAGTTGGCTTCAGTGTAGTATCATCAACACAATGTTGGATTGGAATATTATACACAAAGATCAGGATTATTGAAGACAGGAGTCACAAAAATAGGATGAAATTCAATAGATCATGCAGCTAATATGTAATCAGAAGAACTTCTGCTGCATGTTGCAGGGTGGGGGGGAGAAGGGGGAAGAAAGGGGGAGCATCATTTGGAAGCAATGTAGGAGAGAGATGTGAGTGTGGGGATCTATTATAGATGTCTATGAGCCCCCAATGTAATGTAGCTATGAAAAAGATAAATGTGATCCTCAGATGTATCAGATGAAGCATTCCCAGTAGAAACAGAAGTTTTAATGTCATTGAACAAAGCAATATAAAATCTCATTTTAGAATACTGTGTATAATCGTGGTCACCCATATTCAAGAAAGAGAAATTCACATTGTAACAAGTACAGTGAAGACAGATAAAGATGATCAAGGGAACAGAGGGCCTATCATATGACAGGAAACTGGAAGAGGTTGATTTTTTTAGTCTAGCAGCAAAAAGCAGTTTAAAAGGAAATATAATTGCTTTCCATAAATGCATCAGAAGGGTAAATACGGGGGTGGGGAATAGAAGCTATTTATGCCACATTGGTGGCATAAAAACAAATGGATATACAGAGCACATGAACAAACTAATGGCTGAAAATTAAAAGACGGTTTCTAACCATCAACAGAGTGAAATTCTGGAATAGTCTCCCAATGAGAGTTGTGCGGTCAAACAATTTAATTAATTTTGAGAGCTGGACAAATTTGAGTGTAGTTGTATGATGAGGTTACTTGTGATGGTAGGGAGTAAAGACGTTAAGGACTAATTGACTAATCATTTCTTCCCCACCCCCTTGCTGCTTCTATCTGATAGAGGCAGCAAAGGGGGGCAAGAGGGGATACTTCAAAGCAGAAGTGCCTCACGGAGCCTGAGGTACAAGCTCCATGTGGCGCTGCTCCTTTGAAATGCTGTGGTGGTGTTTCAAAGGGGCAGCACCGCACAGCTGATCCCAGACTCTGTGCAGCGCTGGCCCTTTGAAATGCTGCCATGGTGTTTCAAAGAGGCATCGCCACATGGAGCCTGGGGTCATCTGGAGACTTCCTAGCTGACCCTGGGCTCCATTCAGCATTTCTGCAGAACCCGAAGTCCCCAGCTGGCCTTAGCTCTGTGCGGCATTTCAAAGTGGCAGCATCTCATGAAGCCAAGGGTGAGCGGAGGACTTTGAGTCCCTCTGCTGGCCCCAAGCACCCTGTGGGCACTTCCGCTTTGAAATGCACAAGAGCCCCCGCTGGGGCACACCGCCTGCCTGGGGGCTCTTGTGCATTTCAAAGTGAAAGTGCTTGCGTGGAGCTCAGAATTAGTGGGACTTCCTGCTGGCCCGGGCTGCATGTGGAGTTCCAACTTTGAAATGCACAAGAGCCCCCGTGCCTATCGACCAGTAGAAGTCGATGGAAAGTTGACTAGTAAATTAATCGATATTTAACATCCTGAGTGGGGAGCAGTACACAGCAGCTGTGCAGGTCACTTCTGGTTTGTGTGTTATGTTCATCAAAGCTCATGTTTTAGGGTTTCAGCTGCCCACCTCCAGGGCTTCCACAAATTTATTCTGAATTTTTTTTTTGTCTCCGTCCTCTGAAGTGTCAGAGATGGCCATAATTGG